CGCACACCGTACAGCCTTTGAGGGGGGGGTCTGGGGGGGGCGCAGCCCCCCCCAGCGACTATACAAAAAGGAATTGTATCCGCAAGAAACACCCAGTTTATTACTCTAGGGTATTAGGCCCCAAACGAAAAAAAAAACACTGCTCTGAAGTGACCCGTGGGGCTGACAGACAGACGCACGCCTATGTACATATGTAGATGTATATATGTATATATGGTATAGACATATGTACATATATGTACACGTCCCTCTTGTTCATCCCGCGCAGGGCCGGCATCTCCTCGCTGACTCAGGTTCCAGAAGAGGATCCCAGGATTGGCTCGCCAAAGCCACCGCGGGGCAGGGCAGCTCCCCTGAACGCCACCCTGCCGTACTTCTCAGGCCACTCCCGACAGCTGGAACCCAAGGGGCACCTTCAGAAACCCCCTAGGGCCACAACTGACGGCGGCGGCGCCGCGCGCGAAATCAACATGCCTACGTGCGGTGCCATGGCGCGCACGGAGGTCGACGCCGACGGCAACCCCACGGCGGCGACGGCGGCGGCGGCAGAGGCGCAGCCGGTGTCGGCGGCCGTCGGCGCCGCTATCGCAGCATTCGACGGTATTGGCAGTGGCGCGGACGCCGTGTGCCGTACACGGCTAAGCGGCAATGGCGATGGCGGAGACGGCGTCAGGATCATGCATGAATCCGATGTCGCTGCCGTTGCTACTACTGCTACTACTGCTGCTTTTGCTGCTGCTACAGTTGCAGAAGCAGCAGCAGCAGCTGCTGCTACAAGCGCATTCTGGGACACCGGCCTGGACCACAACGAAAATGTCGCCGCGGTCGCCCACCACCCACAGTCCAACGGCGGTACGGAAGATGGCGCTGCGGATGTGATGTGCGCGACAGGGTCGGCCGGCGGCGCAGGAGCGGATTCCGCCGGAGGCCCCTCCCCCGGTTGCCTTGGCCCTGTCCCGGAATCAGCCATCAGCGCCGTTGCATCGCTGTCCGTGGAGCTGCAGATGCCGCCTGCCGGGGCAGAGCTCATCGGCGTTAAGGCTGCGAGAGCGGACTTCGCTTCAGCGGCGGCGGCATGGGTACAGGGCACGCCGCCGCGGCCGCTGGAACTGCCCCACGGCGCCGCCGCCAGTGCCTCTGCCTCTGCCTCTGCCGCGTCATGCGGGATCCGTTCGACCACCAACGCAAGTCTTGGAAGCTTGCAATCAGCCGCTGAAGGAGGAGGAGGAGGAGGAGGAGGCGGCAGCCGCCGCCGCCTCCTTCCCGACCTTCTCCGCCGCTGCGGCAGCAGCCTCAACGTGATGGGCTTGCGAATTAACACGAGCTCCTCTCAAACGGGAGCCAAAGTCAGCTGGCTGAAGCGCGGAAGCAGCGTCAACTCGCCCGCTGCGTCGCCCCATCAAGGCATGGCGGGCGGCGGCGGCGGCGGCGGCGGCGGCAGCGGTTGGGCCCTGCGGGACACGGACCTGAGCCGCTTTGACGTCGCCAGCCCCGGAGGGCGCCCCCTGGCTGACCCAGGGTCCCCCACGGGCTCCATTTTCGCGAGCCCAGTCACGCAGATTGGCAGCGGTTGTACGACGCCGTACACGCCGCAGTACACGTCGTACACACAACACCCGATGCACGCAATGCAGGTAGGTGACCGGGCACATGTGCCGGGTTAGTGGGGCAGAGGCACAAGATCGGCAGGGAGGGGAGGGAGCTGCCTAAACGTGGCCCAACTTTAAGTCATTTCTCCCGGGTGGGGTGGGGGGGAGGGTGGGATGGGGTGCGTGTGTGTATGTTGTTACAGGGTGGTTAACTTCGCCAGCGGCCCCCTTTCCCGGGGCAGTCCCTGCTCTCCCCTGCTAGAGGGGCACCCTAATCCGTCACCCCATCCGACTTTAGAATGTATTCGTTGGGTTCGGCAACTCACCACCAGCATCCAACCAAATCTAGGGGATCAGCGACGCATCAACTTAGTTCCTGGTCAGCTCGCAAGTGTATGTACGTGTGCGTTGCACCGTAACCAAACTCTCGGATGAACCCGTTACATCACCCGGTCATTTCAATCTGACGGACAGACGGTCCTGCAGGACTCAAGAGTGGGGGCCGCCGAGCTCGGTGCTACCGTCTTTGCGAAACGGCTATGGGGCCCAACCGCCAACCCGTCGGTTATACACACATGCATACATGCATACATGCACTTCGTAGATCAGGTCAGGTCGCCAGTGAGGAGCCCCCACCCCGCCCTGCGCCCCACCCCGCCCTGGGGGATGCCCCGGCCCCCCCCGCCCCGCAGGTGGACCCCTCAGAGGTGGTGCTGGGTAAGCTGATTGGGCGCGGCTGTGCCGGCCGTGTGCACCGGGGGACCTTTCGCGGTGAGGTGGTGGCGGTCAAGGTCATCACGCACTGCGAGGCGGCGGCGGAGGACGGCAGCAGCCTCACACCGCTGACGGAGGCGCAGGTGAGGGGGCCGGGATGAGGGGGGAATGCGGGGGAGGATGCTGTCATGTGACTGGCGTGTGGTGTGGCGGCGGCATGTGTATTGTACTGCACTAAAGATAGCGGCGCATGCCTGCGTGCCTGTGTTTTGATGATCTGGGCCGCACGAGAAGGAGTTATCAAAATTGGAAACAGCTTTTTATACTGGGGAAGGAAACACCCCGTGGTCGCCAATGGCACGTCCCAGCTGCGTGTGTGTGTGTGTGTGTGTGTGTGTGTATTGCCCTCGGGTGGTGGAAGTCGCGTGCAGATGATGGCTTGAATTGGTGATAGATATGTGGGCCGCTGCAGGTGCCGGTTGTTGGTGTTAAGGGTGAGAGCAAGGCCGTGAACCCGAAGACACATCCTCCTAGAAACATGTGGCTAAGTAAATAGGAAGCAACTGACAGCAACTGAACTGAGGGCGGGGGTGGGGTAATGGGCACACTCGCCTGAGAGACCCCTAGTAATCGGCTCCTCCCCTTCTACCTCCTCCTCCTCCGCCCCCACGCTCTCCCCTCCTCTTCTTTCGCCGCAGCAATTCCCTCCCTCTACACACATACATATATACACACATATACGTGCATTTCCACATACGTACGTTCACGTACATGCACGCAGGTTAGGAACCTGGAAAAGGAGGCGGCGTTGGCGTTCGTGCTCAAGCACCCCAACATCGTCGCTACCTACGCTGCCTTCACGCGAGTCTCCTCGCCAGCGGCCCTCGCCTCGGGCTATCCCCACTCCCCGGCGTCCAGGAGCTCCTCCCTGCACCCCCCCGGCCCCGCCAGCCACATCCAGCTGGTGGCTGCACTGGAGCGTGTTAACACCGCGCGAGTTACGCCGTACAGCTCCCCCGTCTTGGGGCACCAGCGTGCGTCTACGGCTTTTGACAGCGTGGCGGCGCCGACGCCGCCGACCCGTTGGTATCCATCATCTCCTAGCTTTCGCGGGGGCGGCGGCGGCGGGATCGGTTTCGGAGCTGGTATCGGCAGCAACGGTGGTGGCGGCGGCGGATTCCCGAGCCCCATGCCAGGAGGCGTCAGCCGGATCGTCTCCCGCATGCCGTCAAGCTTTGCCCGGGTGGCGGGTGGCGGCGACGGAGCCCCGCCGGCGGCAGCGGACGACGACTCCGTCGGCTCTACCGTCACGGCTTCCGGCTCCACCGCCGCCGCCGCCACGCCGAACCGCTCCACGCACGTTGGAACGGCCCCGGCGCTGCTGGCGGTGTGTGCTGGCGGCCCTGGCGGGCTCGGCGGCAGCGCATGTACGGCACACCGAGTAGGGCCCGTGCGATGGGAGGTGTTTATCGTTATGGAGCTGTGCCCTTGCGGCTCGTTACGGGCCGCTCTGGATGCTAAAAAGCTCCACAACAAGAAGGGCATGCCCCACTTGCATGAGGTGCGCTCTTGTGCTGCGGGTCCTCACCCACTCGCCCGATCCGCCGTAGCAGTGTACGACCGGTCAAATCACCGAATAGATTCAAACAGGCCACGTCATGTTCAGACGGGGACCCCTACCCGTTCCTGGTTACATGGTAGAGTCCCTACCAGCGCAAATCCTGGAGTCCGCTGTACCGCCTTTCCGTACCTTTCCGTACACGACCCGCCTTTCAGTACGGTGGCCATAAACCCCGCCGCCCATCCCCGCCTCCTCACCCGGTCTCTCCTCAACCCACGACACACACATACATACATACACACACACGTGCGCCGCCAGGTGCTGCCGTTGGCCTGGGAGATCGCCTGTGCATTGCAGTACCTGCACGCCAACAATGTCGTACACGGCGACCTGAAGGCCGCCAACGTGATGTTGTCGGAGGCTCCGCCGCCGCCCATCGATGATCTAGACGCAGCGGCAGCCGCGCGCGCGTCGTTTTTGAGCTCGGCTGCCGGCGGCACCGTTGCTGCCGCCGCCGCCGCCGCCGCCGCCGGCAGCACTAGCAGCCCCAGGCTGGGCTCCCCCCGGCTGCAGCTACGACCCACCTACACTGCCAAGGTGCGTCGTTACCTCAATATAATTGATATTCGTTAGGTCCTGGTGGGTTTCGATGCGAGACATCGTTCCATTTCCGTCTTCCTCTGCGTATTCGCCTCGGATAGGACTGACCGCGGGGTGCGCTGGGCTGGCTGATCTGGCAGTCTGGTAGTCTGCTAGCCCCGGGAGAGGCGGCGTAGGACCGCCATCCCTCATCCATCCTTCATCCATCTATCCATCCTGTCCGCTTCGTCCACATCCGCGTCAAGCCGCTCACTATCCGTGTCTGCGTAACGTCCAACCCCATGATTCGTTTCGTATTCGTATCGAACCGGGGATCTGTGGCGCACGGCGGCATGGCGGCATCAAGGTGGCGGACTTCAGTCACAGCCACCAAGTGGAGCTGGCCTTGCGGCGGCTGCGGGAGGGGGCTGACGGATACGCCGGCGACGATATGCCGATGTGGGACGGCGCCACGGGCGGGATGGCCTCCCCCTCTCACTCGGCTCCGGAGCTGTTCGATGACGGCGCGAGACCCACTTTTCAGTCTGATGTATACGCGCTCGGTGCGAATTCTTCACAAAATCAGTTTACTTCATGTTTGTCTGCTTAGATTGTATGGTTGTCGTTTGGTTGGTCGGTGGTTGTCGGTTGTCAGTTGCACATTCGCATTTGCCTCTATCCATCCAGCGGCTTCATCCTGGCGGATGCTTGCCTGTCTGTCTGTTTGTTTGTCTGCCAGTTTGTGTTTCGCGGCGTCTCTCATCCCATCCGTCAGAGACCCTCCGCCTCTCATCCCATCCGCACACGCACACTTACATGTGCACGTACACATACATCCGGACAGGCGTCGTGCTATGGGAGCTGTACAGTGGGCACCGGCCGTACGACAAATGCACGCTGCTGGACGTCATGGCATTCAAACGAGCGCGGCGGCACACCTCGGAGATGCTCGTCATTCCGGACAGTTGGATTCCCGAGTACGGCAAGCTATGCGAGCAGTGTTGGCTGTCGGCCGAGGAGCGCCCCTCCCTGGACGTCATCGTCACGACGCTCGTCCTATTGTGTCGGTCTAAGTTGCCGTACATACAGCTGTGCTACCCCGTGGCTCTCAGCCCCGACGACCCTGACGGCGTCGACGTACTGATGCCGTACGACGTAAATGCCATACCGGCTGTGTCGCTACCGGGTATGATTCTGGACTCCGAAGACGACCGGTCAGTTGCCGCGGCGGCGGCGGCGGCGGTGGCGGCAAGTACGAGTCCCGGCATGCTGGGAGTTCCCAACGGTGTCGGCCACAACGATCACCCTCGCGGCAGCTATCCCAGGCCGTACAACCGCCGCGGGTCGTCCTACATCCAACACGGCACGTCGTACATGCATCCCCGGCTGGGACTGTCGCCGTCGCCGTCGCCGAGCTGCGTACGTCCGAGGTCAGTGTTGGATCTGGCCGGTCGCACAGCCAGCTGCGGCGCTTTATTACACAACAGACGGCTCGATGATGATGAAGATGAAGATGTGTCTCTGGAGCGGGTCCCTCGGGATCTATTTGCCACGACGGACTGCGCCGACCTGGCGGCGGCAGCGGCTTCGGCTTCGTACGGGTACCCGTACACGTGCCCGGGCGACGCCGGAATGTCGCCGTTCAGCACTCGGACAGCGATGGCAGAGGGCGCCGCTGCTGCCGCCGCCGCTGCTGCCGCCGCCATCACCGCTGGCACAGCGGCGGCTGGGATGTTTATCCCGCCGCCGCCGATGCCTGGGTGTTCGCAACATCGCTTAGCGCAGCCAAGCTGTACGACCTACCCCCCGGCGGCGCCGTCGGAGATGAGAACCGAGGCGGCGGGCATGGCGGCCGGCATTGCAGGTGGACCGATGATCGACCTGGCCAGTACGGCGACCCGTAGCGGCACCAGCGCCGGAAGCGGTGACGGCGGAGGTGGCGGCGGTACAACAGAGGGTTCCCGTACAACACGGCAACCGTTGGAGGAGATGTATAACTCCACCCGCCACAACGCTGCTGCCGCTGACGGCCGCCCGTCAGGTGCATCCGAGCGGACGGAACAGGGTCTCCGCCAACAGGTCCTCCTGGGCGCTGCGGTCGAAGCCTCCATAACTGGCGGCAACGGCGGCAGCGGCGGTTGTGGCGGCGTCGGCGGCGGCGGCGGTAGCACTCAGTGCTCAAGTCGGCGGAACCATGCCACAGTCCAGGAGCTGCCACCAAGCCGCTTGGAGTCCTTGCCAGAAGCCGAGTCCTTACGACTGATGCCGGGAGAGGGCCCTCCTGGGAGCCCATCCGCTGGTGCTGGTACGGCAGGTACGGCCGATACGGCCGGTACGGCCGACACCACCAACCACCCGCGGCCGGTCTGCGCCGGCGGCGCCGCAGCCGCGGCCGCTAGCAGCACTGCTGCCGCCGCCGCCACAGCCGCTAGAGTGACAGCAGGATCTCCCATAAACGCTTCAAGGATTAGCGTTAGTGATCGCGCACGAGTTGAGGCCACCTTTTTGGTGACTACCCCGAACGGGATACCGCAAGCGCCGCTTGCGCTGGCACTGCCTGACAGCAGTGCCGCTGCCGCCCCAGCCTTACCATGCAGCAGCAGCAGCAGCGGCAGCAGCAGCAGCGGCGGGGTCGGCAACGTCGATCCCTCTGCGGCTGTCATCACTGCCGTCGCAGCACCCGCCGCCGCGAACCGTGCTGACGGCACCCTGCCGATTGCTGCCGTCAACGCCACCGCCGGCGCCGCCGGCGCCAGCCCCGCCGCTGGCAGCGGCGCCGCGGAGGATCTGGGCAGCAGCGGCTTTCCCGTCGTCTCCGTGTCCGGCTATAACAGCTTGATCTTGGTGGCCAACGAATCCACGGAAGCTCGCCGAAATCTGGATCCAGAATCCGCCGCCATTCCGCCGGAATCCACCGAACGTATGCGCCTGGCTTGCTCCGATTTCCTGGATGACAACAAGCACGACGAAAAGTACGTACAGCGATTCTGCAGCAGCGCCTGTATCACAGAAGCTGGTACCGGCTCAGGTGCACCGCAGGTCGAGCACAGCAGCGCCGGCTTCATGATGGCGCGCCGCGCGGGGCTGGGGCTGAGCATCGGTAGGGGGGCCAGCGTCATGGGGTCGGCGACGGGGCCTGAACACGTGCGGGGCAACGCCAGCGGCATTTCCTGCTTGGGCTCTGGACCGCTTCGAAGCAGCTCTTTGGGCGTGGCTGGGCCTCAATTCGGTGCCGGTGCAGTTCCCGCCGGCGCCAAGTCTTTCCGGGCAAGCCCCAACGGCGGCACCGCCCACGGCGGCGCCATTTCCGCCAGCTACTTGCCCGACGGTCCCTTCCCAATATCTGGCGCCGGTGCCGGAGGCGGAGGCGGCGGTGGAGGCATCGCCGCCGCCACCGTGGGTGAAGGTGGCGGAGGTGGTCTGCATGGGGCTTTCACGCCCTACAGCCCGCACACAATCAGCTATACCGCCCTGCGACCTTCGGTTGACCGGGCCGGGATCCTACCGTACGGCATTGACCTGGCGGTTATTGCTGGCCGCGACGGCAGCGCCGTGATGCGCGGCAGCAGTTCCCCAAGCGAGCGCTCTACTGCCGCCTCCGCCGCCGCCATAATGCCGAGCCTGGCGGCCGTCAGCCCACGCAAGCTCGGCCGCTGGCACAGCCGCAACTTCACGGCCCGAGAATTGGAAGCCATTTGGACTTCCATCCCGCGCTTCAGCGATGTACCGCCGCCGTCGCCGACAGCAGTGCCGACCCCCAAGTCGATGTCAATGTACGACCTGTACGGCACTATGCCTTGAGACATATGTCATTGAGATTGCTACGGCTTTTGGCGGGGATGATGTGGGCAGTAGGGCCGGTGCCGGTGCCGGTGCCGGTGCGGGTGCCGGTGCCGCGGTGATGGGGGCCAGGCAGTGTCGTGCAATAGCTTGCATCTGTGCGTGTGCAATCGATAGTGAAAAATTAAGATTTGTTCTTGTTGTCAAGTGACATGTGGAAGTGGTATAAGCACGCATCATTCACAACAGTCACATGCAGGTCCCACAGCAGCATTTTAAGTGTCGGATCTGTTTTCGGAGCACGGTCGAATGGTCCTTTAGCCACCCCGAGCCGTGTTTACTTTTTCCAGCTTTGAGGCTCCTGCAACATGTTATACGTTCAAAAAAGATTGTAGTTTTCTGTTGGAAAGTCTTTAGGAACATGTTTCTGCCTCAATGGTGCTGGCTGGAACATATGGTAAGTCTCTAAATATATCTAGTTTTTTAAACATTCTTCATAGTGTGAAAGGGCCTTGAAAAGCGAAGGCATCTCCTTTGTTGGTCTTTTTTTGAAACTGCCTGCGCATGCGGCAAGTCTGGCGCACGCAACGAGAAGTTGCTATGCTTTTATGATAAATAATAAAGGGAATTCGTCCTTCATTCCTTGCCACAATCCAAGTCATATAGTTAGGGGTTCATAGCAGTCAGCAGTACCTTGCAGGATGCTTCTGTGATCGCTGGAAGTATTATCAACGGATAGTGATTTGTTGAAATAACGTTGTTTATTAAAACATGTTGCTGTCTTCCAGTCAGTCGTCCGGGGCGCTTGTTTTTATTTGTTATGCTGTTTCAGGGTGTATCGATGTCGAATTCTTGAGAACATCACAGAAAGGGCTGAAATGAAGGCATGTTCATTACGTTTTACCATAAGACTAATTTCCAAATGCAAAGTGTTCGTTTCTATGGACGCATATTGTGCCAAAAGCTGGATCTGCAAGGGTTTACCTATCAGTAGATGTCGCGGTAAAATGTTCCCGGCTGTGGCTTTCGGCGTGTTTCCGTATGAAGCAGACTGAAAGAACGCAGGCTCACAATGAAATGTATCCGTTCGTCTTGACTTTTGAGTGGACCTGACCGCGTCGGTGTTGCATTAAGGGACGGACGAGGTTCGACGGGGGGACGGAGGCGAGGAAGAGGGTTTCCCTTCATCCCCTTCGGTTTCCATCCCCTTTCTTTCTTTCTTTTAAAGAAAGCGCAGTGCCGGAGTTCGGATCTTCTTGTTGAGCACGCGGAGTTCGGATCTTTTGTTGAGCGGAGTTTACCGCGGTAAGATTTGAGGAGCCCATGTGGCCACGGCGCGGCCATACATGCCATACTTGCGTAGGCCGTCCTAGGCCGCATGTGCAGGATGGCGCCTTCGTAAGACTTGACTAAAATCGCACGTACCAATGTACAGGGATCTGGAAATCATTGGTCCTTTTTGGAACGTGGCCGGGGATCTGAGCTTTGCACCACGCGCTGGCGAGTCGTGCACCGCGGCCGATTTGTGCACCGCACCAGTGGAGAAGTATTTCACGAGCAAAACACAGGCTGCAGTACAAGGTGCGGCACAGAGAGGGGCCAGAAAGTGAGCTTTGCTACAAGATTTCAATGCCCCAAATCGTGCACCAATTCTTTCGCAGATCCCTGTAATGGACCAACAGTGCGCCTGCTAACAAACGTTTCCTGTAACACAGACGGATGGATCAGACCAAAGCCTGACGCCCGCTAATTCTAATCCTAATCCTATTTGCCAGCATCAATCTGCTCATATGCGACCACGGCGCCATGTGCATATGACACATCAGTAACACGCCATAACCCCCCCACACCGAGTTATGTGTTACAGCTTCGGTACGATAAGTAATGCATCGTGCCAACTTCCCTGCGTTGAGAACCAGATTTCATGACACCGCATAGCGACCTGCTAAACCGACGAACTACCTGCCATGCACGACGACGTAACCCTAGTAGCGGCGAAGTGACATCTTCACAGCCCGATTAGTTCAGCAGCAGCAGCAGCAGCAGCAGCATCTTGAGCCGCCGCACATAATCCATGCACTACAACAGTAAAAAATAATAGCATCGAGCTGGCCGTCAATTGGTCAAAGGTGCTTATGGAGCGCCAATTGCGGCAGCAGCAGCAGTAGTAGCAGCTAGAACGGAATGCTCGCCCACATACTAAACGCACACGCGCTCAGCTGTCTAAACCGCCAACCGGACTAAGATTTAAAAACATCTCACCACATGTCAATTGGTGACAAGCCAGTGTATCATAACCTTCACCAAGACGTCAAAACTGTTCTTAACGCTGTCTGTCAACATGCACAGCGAGCTGCCTCAGAAGCTGTCAGTAAACCTAATTTCTTGCCTAGTCGCCCTACAAGGGATCGTTTTCAGGGTCGTCAGCTTTCTGCATGACGAGGCTCGACCGGTTGGCGGCACAATCCACATCTCGTAGCCTATGCACATTGTCAGGGGCCCCCTACAAACCTCAAAAAGAAACCCACATGTACTGAATTGCGCAACCCCCGCACGTACTGCAGTTAAAAGAATTCATCCGGGTCAACCGTGCAAACCGTCCACCGAACAGGGGCGCCCCACAGCAGCCGCTCTCAACCCCGACTAGTGAAAGTGTTTAGCTCTCCTCAAACCCAATAAAATTGGCAAGTCAAAAACAGCACACGTAAAAGCAGCCCCACGCAGAGGTGCCCTTCTCCGCAGGTCCACCGAGAGGACATGCACCACCCCCCTCAAGTTGGCCCCCCATATCCACACATTCACTCCAGCACAGGAACCGTTCCACTGCTCTTGAAAAAATTCCTCGTCTGCAGCGGTGCATGTTGTTACGGAAAGACGGCGGCTCACGATGTGCGTCAGTGAGCGGCGGCGGCTTTCTGCGGCTCAGAGGCCTTCTGCATACCGCAAAGCCGCACAAAGTCCACCCACAGCAGGCTGCCCAGGAAGGTGTTCCCAGTGCGCGCAGCGAAGGACAGCAGGTGGCACAGCTCGGGTTTGCCCTTGAAGAGAACCTCGATACCGCGCTCCTCGATGATACCGGCAATGATCTGGCGGCCAGCTCGGGCAGGTTCCGGAGCCGGGATGGGCACCAATGCACAGCAGGACAACAGTCAGCGTATGAGTACTGCATCGTGAAGCAATGCGCGAATCCAGTGGCGAATTCCATGACTGTCGCAAACGCAACCGCCCCCCAAAAAAACTATCTAATTATTTATTCATCTATAAGATAAATTATATATATGTATATATACATATATTTTGTCCCTGTCTTGCGTGTGTCCCTGTCTTGTGTCACGTGTGCCCTCGCATGCTCGCCTTTTTCCAATTGTTACCCCGTACCAGCTCCCGCCGCTGCTCCTGCTGCTCCCGCTGCTCCTGCTTCTGCTGCTGCTGCTTTGACTGCTTCCCTTACTTGATCACATGCCAATCGGCATCAGTCGGCACTGGCTTTTTTTGCCGGGTAACCAGTTTGCCGTCGGCATCGCACGGGTTGTTGTTGTGTAACGCCCTTGATTTGTTCGCTACTAGGGCCAATCGGCAATAAGCCCTGCTGGCATTAATTCAGTTAGGGCGCTAAGTCCTTTCCTTGCTTGTAGCTGGGCCTGGCCACCCATCACCCAGGCGTCCATCGCCACTACTGCCACTACTGTCTATCGCACCTGGCTCTGGCATCATTACCCGCTTCCCTAGATCAGCAACGATCACTACGCTTGACTACTTTTTTCTTGGCAAAATAGTTCGCGCACCGTCCTCGCCATTTTCAAGCACGGACAATACACACACGACGTTCTATCGCGGTATCCAGCAAGACAGGCCCCGACATGTGTGCGACCGCTCGCCACCTGTCTAATCTTAGGGTTTACAATAGTCTTCCATACACCACACGCGTCCCGAGATGCACAAGCCACAGTTGACGAGAATCATCGTCGGCCAAACCGTAACACTGCCACCTAGCGCGCGCGACCGACTGACCTGATACCGAAGGTTGCTGGAGATGCTCATGTAGACACCGTATGCCGCGGAGGTAGCCACGACGTTCTGGGGCGCATTGGGCGGCGCCAGCGACGGGTCCATCAACTGGCGGACGGCCAGTAGCGCGTTGGTGACGCCCACACCTACATCATCACGACGACAGGCGCGAGTGCACACGCATGGCAGTTCGTGCGAGTTAATAGATGTCACCTCATCTTCGTGGACCTGGAGTCATCTGGTAGTTATTTACAGGCAGGCAAGAAAGGAGTGGCAGGTATGGAATGAAACTGCGTATGGGATGCAATATACCATTTTGCCATTTAGCAGATGCACAATCAGGCAGGGGAAGGGTGTCCATGACGGGAGGTACGGTTGTACGCTACGAGGTTCATCCTACAAGAGATGCACGCACTGATGCATTCATGCCAATAAGCACTCCCCCCGCACATAAGGGTGCCGGTGGTGTACCAGGCATTTCAATGAAATCCACCATCACCCCCCACCCACGCACACAATCTTTCCCACAGGCCACACACTCTCACTCACCAATCATGGACGCGCAGAAGCCCACGCCCAGCAGCTTGCTGCCGTTACGCAGAATGGCGCCAATGCGCTGCGTTAGCGTGAACGGCTCCATGCCGGGTGGGACCTTCTGGAACGCGTTGTCCGGGCATCGGGCGAAGAAGTTCGCCACAGCATTACTGCTGACCGCACGTGGCCTACATGCGGAGCCGAGCATACATACATACACACACATACATACATACATACAGATACATGAATGGCTGCAGGCCGGCGCATGTGGGCCGGAACTCACATGCCAGCGGCACGCATGAGCAGATGCCCAGGCGGAAACAGCAACGCCGATGCCAAGCTAGAGAACAGCAACCATTCATGCGCGTAAGGTCCAAACCCATTTTAAGGTCCAAAACCCCAAGGTCCAAACCCCTGTTAAGGTCCAAACCCCTGTTAAGGTCCAAACCCCTGTTAAGGTCCAAACCCCTGTTAAGGTCCAAACCCCTGTTAAGGTCCAAACCCATTTTCCTCCAATCCAGAGACCTGTACGACAGAGTCGGCGCCGGTAGCCATGTGAGCATGAAGTCCGCAATGATAGCCATGAGTGTGTTGGCGAACACAAAGTCGACCTCACGGACAAAATTCTCCTTGCGTTTCGTGTACTCGGCCGTGATCTTCATGACTACGCCAATCCCGATCTCGATCCCCAGCTTTACGAAGAAAGACGGGTCAGCCAGCAGGCGCTCGCGGAATCCTGTATGGAAAGTGGATGGGCAGGCAGTCAGGGTCTCGGAGTCCCCCTGGACCGGGGTGCCAGCCACCTAACAGGAGGTCTGGAAACCTACGCCAAGGTTGCAGGGCCAGGACGAGGCCGCTAGGACCCTGTCCTCCGATCCGCCGCGGCACCCCGCGCGCATCCTCAAGGCACGTTGCCGTTCTCGCAGCTAGGGGAGCTCACCATCGATGCCCCAAACCAGTCGAGCAAGGAAGTTCGCCTCCATGCTAAAGTAGCGCTGCAAGATCTCCGGAGTTACCTGCACACAGGAGTCGAGACGCTGAGCGATAGCAGATTACTGTTCAGTCATGTGTGCAATCTGCACGCATGCGACAGGGCCGTCGCTTCGGACACACCCCGTCGTTTTCAAGCACAACCACCAGTGTTCCCCAGCCATAAGCACACACCCTGTTGGTGAGAAGGCCCAGCTTAAAATCGGCTGGGAAGCTGTCGACACTGCGACCGGCGGCAGCTAAAAGGGCCACAATCTTCGGGTCCATCGGCTGGCCGCCTGTTGGGTTTCAGGAGCCACGTTACAGCACGTGAAGAACTGCACTGCGACCGGCACAAGGAAAAGGTTACTTAGAAGCCACTCACCATCACCGTTACCACCGCCACCACCGCCACCGCCACCGCCGCCTCCAGACCCATTGTGGCCCACGCCGTTTCCGTCCCCACTGCCCAAGGCTACGACGGGCACGACTGGCGCCAAGTCCTTCTCCGCCTCGGCTCGCTCTGCGCAATTTAATCTTAAGGTTAGATCTGTGTATAGCGTACTGCACAACGCTATTGGGGGAAAACCGCCGACGCTTGCCGTCAGATGGTGCCTCCCGTTTCATCATATATAGCCCAAAGCTCCGTGACCGTTTCGATGCCTTACCCGGAAGGCTAGCATTTTCCGCGGCCACACGGCAACCAAAAGTTGAACGTCCGATGACACCGGGAGCGGAGTGCGCATGGAAGGATTGCGGCCGAATGCGCGCAAGTGACGAAGGGACGCCAATACCGGCACCATATCGAGTAAGGCTCTGCATCTCTAAGCAAATCTGTTCAGGACCTGACGTGCCTCTTTATCAACCTACAGGTGTCGGAGCGTCGCAGCCGCAAGGCTGTGAACTAGAGGGGGCCGTTGCAAAAATAACTATCACTGCGATACTTAATACCAAGCGGAAAATGAGTAACGTAAAGGAAAGGACAAAGGTAGACTATAAATGAATTCAAATTGTCCACGCTCTAAGTTATAAACACGTGATCGGCAGTTCCTGCGGCGTGTCAGTGTGACCCAACTAACACGATGGGGCACAGCTCAGGACGACATTGCCAGCAATTCTGTTTTTCAAAGATCACATCCGTTATGCAACTTGTATCTTTTAGTGGCGAAGACAGCTAGGCCCTTATGGCCCTCACTCCCGAGTCCTCGCAATTTAGTACAACCCCACATCGTTCAAATTATGCATGTGCAAGTCCACATTCTTTCGTCGCGTTGTCAATCTTTGTCCTTTCAATCCTGACATTTTTGGCGAGTATGAAGGCCCCGAGTTTAAAAGCAACGAAGCCAAATTCACAGCTTACATGGTTCTGCTCCATGCTTCTAGCTTTAGAAGAAAGGTGTGAGACCTGCTGCTCGGTGCGAGAACGTCACGTGTTGATGGTGCCTTACGATGTGATCCTCCTGCACCGACATGCCTCAATCAAATTAGCACCTTTGCCCTTAAACCCCCCTCCCATAGCAGCACTTGCTGGGTGGAAACACTGATCATCTGCTCATGTCCACGTATGCGTCGCCCACCTGCACTCGTCTTACGTTAAGCTGCATACGTCCATACCAAAGGCTGAAACCAGTCTCTATCACACAACGCTCGTCGCCGTCCCATTCACCGCACCCACAAGGGCAACCTCTATGGAAACCCCCGGAGCATCACAACAACCCCAGTCAGCTCTGGTAAGCGCCCTAGACAAGCAAGCCCTCAATGCGCGACACGGTTACTAACAGGCCCGTCCATAGCAGATTGGCGTATGAAGCGGTTACGGTAAAATGAACTCGTCAGGAAGCGGCATCAAACGAATCAGCTATATGAATCAATATGTACACGGCCCATAGAATCTACATGGCGCCACTCGCAGCTGCCGAGGCCGTGTTCGCGTACTTGACCGTTAGGAGCCGCCCCCGTGGATCGCTGGTCACGGAGACCTGGCTATCGAGCGTGCGGATGGCCTTCTCTGCATCTGTGCGGTTCTCGTACGTCAGGAACGCGCAACCCTTGGACTTGCCCTGGTGGCGCAAGATTACCAGTTCCAGAATGTTGCCCAGTGGGCTGAAGATGGGCCACAGGTCCGCTTCGTTCGCCTCGAAGGGAACCTGCCGCGATGGAAACCAGGAGACCGGTTAGCGGATCAAGTTTAACAGTTAGCACAACACGAAAACATTCAAGCCGTACGGCTGTTGCAAGTCGAGAGTACCGCGACCCTCACCTTGACACGCGACCATGCACGCATACAGGGACCTACGAAATGATTCTGACATTTCGGCAGCCGCAACTCCCTCCAGTGGGAGTTCTGTTGACTTCTAGGAAGAGGACGGAGGGCTATCCACAGGAGTGTCCCAGAATAGTATAATGATCAGACGCGAAATAAAGGACCAGCCTTTCGCGCCGCCAACCCATCCCATTGCGGAAGACTCAACAATGCTGCTGAGATCTCAATTCAACCGTCACGAACAACACACCTGTCCAATGAAAAGTTTCCAAGCCTTGGGCCCCTCCTGTAGCCCTGCCGGCTTGTTCATGCCCATGCCGCCGCCCATGCCGAGACCCATCATGCCCATCCCAGCCATGCCAGCCATTAGACCGCCGCCCATGCCGCCCATTGCACCCATCCCACCCATAGCGCCCATGCCGCCCATTCCTGCGGCGCCGAGGCCTTGTGCGCCTGCCATCCCGGCAGCACCCGCCATTGCCTGTTGTGCGCCTTGCCCTGGAATGCCGCCCATACCCTGTGCAACAAATTATCATGGCACAGAAGCTTGATCAGCTTAAGTCGGAGGAGGGTTCACTAGGCAGCTAGAATAGCACTTCTGCACTAGCTGTGCCGAAAAAGCCAAGTATACCACGACTTGCTGCTTAGACGGCAACAGTGCTATAGGACACCCCTCATGCAAGTAGTCTAAAACCCTCAATCCATTCGACGTCATCGTCCCAAATCAGTGCATGCGAAGCCTAATCGCCCAAGGCGGTACACGTCAAAACCATATACGTTCTACACTTCACCTAGTTTACGCACCTGCATGCCTGCCATGCCAGCCATCATACCCATGTTACCATAGCCCATTGCAGCCATGGTGCTCATGTCGTAGCCCATGGCCGAAGCTACAGCATATGGGTTGTACCCTGCTGCTGCCATGCCTGCCATGCCCATTGCACCCGGCCCGGCAGCGCCAGTGAAAGTACGCTTGTTGCCCGCGGGCCCGGCGCCAGCAAAGGCCTGCTGCCCGTCCATCGCGCCAAACTGTCGCTTTTGTCCGCCCGGTCCCATGCCAGGGTCGACCACCTTCGCATCCGCGAACTTGACGACCATGGGCGTGGTGGCTCCCTCAATCAATGTCTGCCCGTTGAGCGAAAGCATGGCGTTCTCCGCTTGTGACCACCGCTCGAACGTCACAAAGGCGCAGCCTAATGAGCATTCGGGCAGCACACAAAGAATGCAACGCACGCTGGAGCAAGGGACGTATGCGCTTTGCAGGACCGTCCCATTGGGGATGGACCCCATGTGACATCCACGACTTGCATAGGTAATGGGAACGAGACATAGCACATAAACCTGTATCTTCAAAAGCCACCTTCGTCAGTTTTGTATTCCCCCATCTAATTGGTAAATAAGAGGTCATACCTGGAGCGTTGCCCTTATTCAAAACATGAACGTCGGTAATGGTCCCGTAGGCAGCAAAAAGAGTCCGGATATGTTGCTCAGTCGTGTGTTGTGGAATCTGTGGCAGAGCATAGCGGGGCGCGGACTAGTCAGCCAAGGTAGTACAATGCATTGGAAGATACCGCTAAGGGGTATTGATGATGCGCGTCGTACCACTGCATTAGACATTTGAGCCATTTTAGAGTCAGTTGCTGCGGTTGGCATGGCATGGACAATTGGCTCAGAAGAATGGTCTAGAGTCGGTGGCTGGTATGGATGGAAATGGTGGCTTTGGGATTTGCAATTCGAGTGGAATGTGCGCCTAGGCCACACGTGAAAACCAACATGCGCACCATCCCCCACCAGACCACAACAACAAAACCACACTCGCGCTGGTGCACGGGGAAGTCATGCCAAACGCTCGCGCACACACGCACACAGCCGGGCATCTGGAAAGCGCTGTCAGTTGTGTCCATCGGCAATAATGCTGCACGCTCAGCGCGATGTGATAGGCGTGAACCCCATGAAGTTCGTCCAGACTTCGCGAGCAGCATGAAGAAGTCGAATTGAAGCCATTCCGTGTTGAGTATTAGCCAGCCGCTGATAATCCATGTCTATAAATAAGGAAATTCCTCGTTGACATGCTAGGCTGATATGTTTTGCTGACCCGATATTCGCGCTCAAATTTCGGCTGATCGGACTTACCTTGAAACTCAAACAACGGCAACAACGCGAGGACACCAGACCCAGATGCAACACATGCACTCTGACACAGCAACTAGGGCACACAAAGCATGAGTTAGTCTAAAGGTGACGCGACGGCACCAACACCTGTCCGACAAACAACTTCTTCGGCGCCACGCCCATCACTGGACCATCGCCACGCCCACGTGGAGGATCCGCAAACTTCACGAGCAGCGTCCGGCCGCCTCCCAGGTTCGCTGTACCATTTTCGTGCTCGATGGCTAGTTCTGCCTCCGCCCATCGGTCATAGGTCACCATAGCGCAGCCCTTGCTGCGCCCATCCTGGCCGGTGATGAGGGCGCACTTCTTGATGGTCCCATACTTGGAGAAGAGAGCAAAGACCTGGTCTTGAGTGACCTCGTGAGGGACCTGGCCCACGAACACCTTAGGCTCAGCGCAGACAGCCTCTGGCTTTTGCATGCCCATGACCATTGTTTCACAAGGAGTGAAAGCCGAACAGGTGTGGGGTCAACCCAAGCGGCGCTACTACTGATCCAATTGGGCGCGTGAGCACAGAATCCAACGAGTGAGGCGTTGAAGTGTAGCCTAGGTCGAAACAAACAGACGAAAGTTCTGTACTAGTCTAGAGGTAAAACGTTTAAGCGCGGAAGTGCGAATAAACTAACCTGTGACTGCTGCCCATTTTGGCGGCTGCAGGACAACGCCGGTGGGGGGCCCATAGGGGGGTTTTCCTGGCCGAGGCATTGATAGCCCCACCATGAATTTTGTGTTAATTCCTAATACTATACTTTTTCAGCAGAGAACACTACAAATGCCCCAGTTCCGTTTCATGCACCCCGAACGTTCGCTTCTCTGTCTTCTACAAGGAATGTTGTTGATGTACCAATATCACACACATAAACCATGGCTTTACGTGAGTGCCCCGCTGATGGATCAATGGCACCCTCAGGGCATGGGATGTGGCAGGTCGCAACTTTTGACCTTTAGGCAAGGCAACTGGTTACACAATTTGTTGCACTCAGTACGTGTGAAAGGGACTTCACAGTTTATAAACTTCAAGGCGACTTCTTTTTCCTAGTTTCGCGTCACGGTTGCCCTTTCGTAGGCGTTATGGTCGGGGCACCAGAAGCATACAAGGCTGAGCGGCTTAGTATCGGGGCAATCATATTAAGTGCCAATGGATTATCAGTGCGCAGGTACACCATAGTTACACAAGCACACACCGTTGCAGGCGAGCGACCTCAGGCGAACTTCTTCACACGGGCATTTCAACAACAAAAGAAGGGCTCTTGCACGCCTTGAATCCCCCTAGGACCCCATTGCCTTTCTCCTCAATGCCATCTCACAGCCTGCACCTGTCACGTTCTGTGCAAACGCCCAACTCAACCGCCTGGCAACAGAGTACACTATCTGAACTCCAGCAAACTTACCACACACCAATTAACATGCGTTGTCACACCCAGGATTGTTTCACAGCCTGCTTTACTCCCTGTACGACCTGTGCCATGCCTCTTCGGCCACAGTAAAACCCGCCCGGAACCCATCACAAGGTATGGAGCTCACACGAGCTGTATTTTGTCCAGGCAGAAGTAGGCGTCCCGCTCGTTAATATTCTGAAACTCGAAACGATTGAGCTGCTCCTGAGGCACGTAGCCCTCGCAGCGGAAGTCCGATATGGGGATTACAATCTTGTACCACTCGCCTTGGGTCTCGGCAGGCTTCTGCGAAGGACGCAAGATCCCGCTTTGGTAAGCATGGGGAAACCATGCTACATGCCCTGTATGGCCAAGACTAAGACTGTTCACACCCAAGTCAAGCGTATGGATTCCTGTGAATCACTGCCCGGCACAGAAAAACACACCTCGACGGATAGAGACTACTTCTTCTTTTCTTTTCCTACTTCTACATCTGACAGCGACCTCCCGAAGGTTTTAGTGCGATAGGGAGAATACACAACAGAAGACGACCCAGATGCTGTTTCTTCTATGTTAGGGGCTTTCACTACCCACACAACGTTAAGCAACGCGGCAAAAGAACAATGCTGTATAAGGTATAACTCTGTCAATATAAGGACTGTGCTACGGGACGTGCAACACCTTTGGCAACACGACAGAAAGAAATACGAACATGCGAACAGGAAGGCAGGTAGGAAGCCAAGCGAGCAGAGACGCAGGCAGGGAGAAAGGTTAGAGGAATCCAGGAGCACGAAGGTACACAGGACGACAGGACACCTAGCGAACACCGTACGGCTCCGTTCTTTGCAATCCAAGCAACGCAAAATCCAGGCCACAACGCCTCACCGTCGTGTTCAGGTACACTTCGTTGCCGCAGTAGAGCTTGTTGCCGTTGCCATAGCTGCGGTCCTGCAACACGAACACCTTGACAGGCGGCACGATACCGCTCGGTGTGGAGGAGAAGTACGGGTCACTGGAGTTGGAATTTGGCCGAATCCAGAAGCTCAGAGAGGTGACGTTCTTGAAAGGCTGGTAGCCGGGGCCGCCGCAAGCGCGGCACGTGAAGCTGAGTCCGCCGCCCGGAGACAGCTGCAGGCAGGTAGCCGCGGAGCCGTTCACGCCAGCACCTGCGGATCCGACCAAAGGTCAGGTAACCTAATGCACCGGCCGTGGCTTGAGCAGGTCGCTCGGGGTGGTTGCGGTTGCGGTTGCGGTTGCGGTTGCGGTTGCGGTTGCAACTGCGTTCGCGGTTGCGGTTCTAGCTTCCTTGGTCCCATACGGATCTTATCCACGCTTGGATCATGTTAGTACGGCATTACGAGGTCCGTACGTCCATCTTCTCTTCCCCCCAGATCCGTACAGAAGCCGATGCCCCTCTCTGTGCGCCAAGATCTCCCTGCAGCTCCTTGAAGAGCCTTCGTCACCACAGTGCTGCAAGGCCACCCACACGTACCCTTCTGACTCAGCTCAGCGTACGACCGCATGTACGGAAACCAGTTCCATCCGGGCTGGATAGTATCTTCGTACACGGTTTTGCTGACGAAGCCCGGCGCGGGTGGCAGCGGCAGCGGGTTGCCTGTGTCGCAATCGACTGGTCGGTAGTCCACGGCCATAACGCCATAGACCTGAGGATATGGAAGGTAAGTGCTTGAAGGGTGAAGTACAAGCGAGGCCGTGACATCGTCTTGTAGCGCCAACCCATCACCTTTGGGCAGCTAACCAACCCAGCCATCGGGATAAGGGAGTGTTTGTTATAACCATGAACTGTGGTCCTTATCGAATCGTGGGGGCTGCTCAGGAACGACTTAAAATTGACGTCGCGTGCTCTCTAGCACCGCATGCAAACGCTCCATAGCTATGAAATGCCGTGCGCGTTGTCTGCGACAACCAACTTAATCAGTGTGATGAATTACACGCTTCCTTGGATGGTATTCTTAAAACTTATAAACCATCATCATCATCGTGTAACCCCGTGAAAAGAAGTCCCCGGGGCATACTGAGAGTGACTTACGCCATTTACGACCCCACGAAGGATTTACCAAAACCCAATGTACGACACTTCCGGGTTCGCAATAGCTACCGGTACACTTGGGATGGGCTTACGCTACCGCGAGGAATTATAAGGGGGTCTTGGGGCACTGCATGTTGCAGCAGCTGACGCATTTTGTGTATATAACGTATTGTTACCATCGATGTGCGGCTGCGAGGCGTACGGGGCCGAGGAAGGCTTGTGCCGTACCGGGTGCGCCAGCCTCTCAAACGCGAAGTACGACAGATCAAAGTGGTTCTGACCTGGTGGCCGGCGATAAGAACAATATCATTGTTATCGACAGAATAATATACATGTCAATTTCAATTCCGACGCAGAATCAGCGGCTGCTGAACACCAAGCTTTATGGCCCTCGATTTCAGCTTCCCAGGGGAACCCGTATGCCCCCTTAACCCCCACTCGCACGCAGCGATCAACCGGCATCAGGATGGGTGTAGCACACGGAGTGATAGGATGACGAAAACTCCGAGTTTGCATGCGTAAAAAGAACATGTATGACACCGCAACAGACCCATGGGTCCGTCCATCGCTGCAGCACCCGGAGCCCTGTGTGTCGAGGTTTCCGTTCCCACTGGCCACTCACCACCGCAGCACCACTCCTGACGGCGGACCTCGCCGCCCTTGGCAACTCCCGGTGCGCCCTCCTGCAGTACTTGACGGCACGGGCACGAATCAATGATGCGGACCGTGATGGCCTGCGGGTGTCGAGTACGGTACATGGGAGAGGGTGCACCGGCGGCAAGCTCATCACGGCGGGGCTGGACGGGTACAGTCGCCATGGCGATGGCGCTGCGCTGCCAGATCCCTTGGGATGGATAAAGTTAAGCTTCAAGACTGCATTGGCCCTATCGCAAGGCTCTTTCAAGAAGATTTGTATCCCTGGTTAGCTGTACATACATCATTAGCAAGTAATTCGATGTACCTTCGGATATGTGTAATGTGTGATAGGGCAGAGCAGGAGCGGCAGTGGATCTGCTTGAGAGGCGATAGCATCTTAACCGCTTCCGATCTGAGCACATTTGAGCTTGGCACTTTCTTTGCCACCTTCCCGATGAACACCCCTTTCCCACCCCTCTATGCTCCCTCTTGTCTTAAGACCCCGAGCACCGTCTTCGGCTCTTTGCGTTATCATACATCGGTGTCGTTCCAGCATTTGACGAACTGAAGCCCCTGCGACTCCGCCGGGTTTCCCGGCCAGGCGCGACCGCGTGTGTCCGGAATACTGGAGTTGATCGCCGGCAGGTACGGCCGGAAGCGGTCGCCATCGTAGAGGCCGTTGATGATCCTTACAGGAGAGGTGTTGTTGGCTGGTGGGCGACAGGAGGCGGAAAGAACGCAAAGATGCGGAGGGAGAGATATGGCGGCGGGATGGGAGAGACATGGGCGTCGTCGACTGAGTCATGTGGGAGAGATGTTTTAGAGTAACGGGTTTGCTGCTGCTGCTGCTGTTCGTGGTTTGTCCATGGCGCTGCTCCTGGCGCTGGCGTCGGAGCGTCACGCCATTTCAGTATACAATGGACAAATTAAAACCCTGGTCAACACCCGAAGCGCATGTAGCGAACTGCGGGTGTCTGGGCAGTGGATGCTACTGCGATAGTCTTCCGATCCATTCAGTTTTTGGCGTTGTCGCGTCCTAAGGAATCAAAAAAAGGTGGTCGACGGTGCTGGTAGGTAGCATAAATCTCATATCCACGTGCCCCACATGCGCATTACGGTGGTACGGTGCGTACCCGGATCCTGGGGGCCCTCGCCTACCCGTCACTGCTGCTTCGTCATTGTTATACGTGGCGCACACATTGACGGGCATTACGGTGCGAATCTGCCGTGGCGTGCTTGAACCGACCGGTGAGTGGGCCCCTTCACACCGGTTTGCTTTTTAATGGGGCAGTATGAACTCCACTCGTCACCCACCTGCCACTAGGCCGTTCACGCACTTGAATTGGTAACACCTGTCCAAAAGGCCCCGTCGGTCAGTAAGCCCCACAATGTAGCATTAATTGCCTTCAATGAATGGCAGCTCAAACTTATCATCACAGGTAGTAAGCTGTGCTAAGGTGCTGTCATCTGTGTGTCAGAAACTTAGATCCCAGGATGTGCGCACGTGTTGTGTCTGCGGCACAAGCAACGCGAGAGCGACGCAGCGCTGGCGTGACCTAAGCTCACCGAGCGCAGCTGCCAGCGTAGTCAAAATTAGCATCTGCCGACGCCGCGACAGCATCTTGCGGGAAGGGCAGAGTGTTGTCACTGTTAGTAAAGCCGCAGGAGCCAAAGGTGAGGATTCCAAAGCTGCCTTCGCCGCGGGAGGGATCGTAGGTCTTATGGAGCAGGTCGGGTCCACCGTAGTAGGTAGTGCGGCCGCGGATCCAGCCTGAAGGTGGCTGTGGTGGCAGCTGGGGCGTACTGCCGCTAGTATTGCTGTTGCTCTGAGCCTGTGACGTCGCAATCAACATCCCACATAGCGCGAGGCTAAGCATGAACGACACCATTTCGTCGCGGCTGGGGTTTTGCCCTTGGGAGCTGCAAAAGGACGCTGCACGTCCGCTTGCGACTGAAACTTCCTAAGCGCCCCGGAGTCGGCCAACAGCTGTTTTCACGGTATCTGCCAACCCTAGAGAGTTGAGTTCTTTGATTACTTGATAGTAACACTTTGGAAGGCAAACGGTGCAAATTGTCCGTGAAAGACTGTAGGCTGGCAGCTATTTGTGTCAAAGAAATGAATTTTGTTGTACATGCGTTGAAGACACTTTCTTGCACTTCTTGGCGCGAACAGTAGAGGCTGTCGGAGGCTTGCGCATCAACCGTCATCAGTCTCCGGTACAAACGTTGACAACTACCGGCCAGTTTTTTCACAGATGCAGCCCCGCAACAACTTCGATTCCGAAGATATGCAGACACCGCAATCAGCTTCCCCTGTTGCAGAAAAGCCTCCGATTCGAAAATGCAGCAACCATCCTGCAGAGCGTGGCGGCGCACATGCCAAATGAAATCCAATGGCGCCGCCCCAACGGCTCTCGGACCCAATCTTGGCCCCTCGGGTGCCGTGCCAAAAGCCACTACGCTGTATCCATTGCGTCGCCGCCCTCCGCCTCAGCACGCTCACGTTGAATGGCCACATACTTCTCCTTGAGAGCGGGCGTCGCCAGCACGACCTTGCGCAAGAAATTCTGCGCCGAATGTCGGGCCAGCATTCATGGTCGGTCAAGTGGACAGCTAGAACCAAAGAGCTCGGTAACCGACCCATGGGCCGGCAAGGGCCAGCGTAAATATGACGATTAACAGCTGGACATTTCTTTCCACAGCTTACGCGCTACATGCCAACTCATGCATCCACGGCTTAAATAAGCTATCTCGAAGGTGCATTGCCGTATTAAAACATGTACAGGCGCGGATACGTATAGATGAACATGCAAAGGAAAGGAGACAATGGTTACGATCCCAGACAGGCGAGTGGCGAAGTCCACGCACTGTGGGTGCCATGGCATCCCAGAAGCCCTTCACCATCTTCAGCAACCAAGGTCGACTGAGGGTGGGCGAACTCTATCAGAAGCTTGGTTCGCGCCACCATCAGCCATAAAAACACGGCACCCTTCAACCCCTGTCACCTCCCATAGCCGCACAGCCGCACCTGGAAGGCCACGTTGTTGTCGCTGCCGGGCACGTGCTCCAGAGCGTCCACGCAGCGAAGGCAGCTGCGCAGCATGTCCTCATGCCGGTCGATCTGAGGCGGAGGTTTCGTTACAACAAAAGGATTGCACGCCCGGGGCGAGACCGAGATGCTGAGAGCTAAGGGGCCCGAATTAGGGGAAGCGGGTGACTGGAATGCGCTGACGCTATGGACGAAGCAGCAAGATACAAAGCGCGAGAAGGGAGAAAGTTACCCGCTTGTGGCAGGCCCATCGACGGGTGAGCTCGGTGCATGGCATGGCAAAGCGCGGCAGAGCCGTGGCTACAACGGTGAGGCATTGATAAGCTATGGCCTTTGCACCTCTGCCGTCCACATTTAAGCACAAGCGCACCTCCTGCTTGACGGCATCACTCTTGAGACGCGTGGTGAGAGTCTTCTCCAGAGGCACCACCAGCCGGTCCGCCGCCGCCAGTACGGCACCCGGATCGGTAGCCACCAGTTTAGACAGCGTGGTGTGGCAGGGCATTTTGACCTGCACCCGATGGTGACAGATAGAGGAGCTCTTCAAATGTAACCCTGTTGCAGTGCTCGATGACTTGAAGCGTGAAAGGCACAAGGTCCATGACGACATAAAGAGACACAACAACGCTAAGTCACTGACCGACTGTGAGTCCCACCCCCGGTCAGGCAGGTGACTTCAACTTGCACATCGCCTGCTGTGCCTATCCATGAAACATAATGCGTGACCTCCTTCCCTTAACCCTTGTGACAGGGCACACGGACGCGGCCGTGCATGATGCGGTAGCGGCAACCGCAAACGTACCCCGACCCTCCTCTCCCTTTCATCCCGGCATCGCTTACGTCCGCGTGATCCCCGAGCCCGCTCTCCAGCGCCGCCAGGAAGGGCACCGGTTCCAGACGATCGCGGCAGCAGTCATTGAGAATGTCCAAGCATTCGAACGCCGCCTTGCGCAACTCCAGACCGTCATCGATCTAGTCATCAAACAGAAATAAGGCAAAACGGGGCCCGAATGCAGGAATAAGGGAGTAGACGGCAAGGCCGTTATGCAAAACGCGGACACAAATTTTCATGGCCCAACTTGGGAAAGGGACGAAACGGAAAGAGATCCAGCTCAAGCAAACGTTACAGCGCAAACACCATGGTGACAGCATGCCGTGTTGATAAGCAGTGTTGACTTCAACGATGGACATATCACGAAGGTGGGAAGAGAAGAGAGGCGAATTCGTCCCCATGCTATCGCGAAGTGGCAGGTGACCACACGCCTCCAAACAGCTCCAGTACCGACAAACAGACTGAACCAACACGAAGTCACAAATACACGCTAGAACATCCCTAGGAAAACCCAGCTGTTCCCCTGTCCCGCCCTGTTGCCATTCACATCACAGACAGACACATGGTTCGCCTTCTGCAGACTTTGACTGTAGAATGGCCGGGCTTCCTGATTGAAGCTCAATTTGCCTAGAACCAGGTACACCTGCGTTTGCAAAGCCATAACCACACACCTTGTGCTTAAAAGGTCCCAAGTCCACAGTGCGGATCATGTCCTCGCGCACCGCCGTCTGCGCGTACAGCAGTGGCAGCAGCTGCGCCAGGTCGCCCACTACCAGGCCCGGCTTGGCGTGTGCGCAGCCCGACAGCGCCACCACCGCCGAGCGGCGCACATGGCGGTCCTCGTCGCCCATAAGCAGCAGGAAGCGAAGCAGCACAGGTCCCAGCTCGGCGTCCACGGGGTGAGGCCGGTCCACCACCGCGTGCTTCACCGCCGAAACCACCTGCCCCAGGGAGACATGGGCCGAGCAAGACAATGTTGGCATGGTATCAGGAGGTGTTGGATACGTGACCGAACGTGAGTAAAACACAGGGATGCCGGTACTTCGACTACGGCATCCGAAAGGCAGAACGTTCACCACAGGCGTAAACGTGTACATCTCGGGGACGCGAGCGTGACACATATACAGCAGAAAGCCCGTCCTCTTTCTGTTAACACATGGCGCGTTGAAGTCCACTCCACCACACGGCACCGCTCCGCCCCTTCCCGTTCAATCACCATCCCCTGGTCGCCTCTGCAGCCAGATGGCCTCCAACCGCCGCAAGCATTTACCCACCACAGCGCGTATATTTCCCGAGGCGGCGGTGGTCCGCTCCAGCAGCGCCGGCAGCACCTTGGCCGGGTGCAGCAGTGCCAGGCGGCCCGCGCACTCGGCCACAACGTTGCGGCATTCCTCCTCACTCTCCGCAGCGTTGAAGAGCAGCGATAGGACCTGAACCAGCATAGGGGAGGCCTAGGTAATGACGCCAGTAAAACCCAACTGCACTGAAGCACTACGAAGCCAGAAATAAAGATGCCAGCAATCATGGGGCTCGGGTTCCAACACCCCGGGCCCGACGTGAGAAAGGTATATGCGGAAGCTGTACGTAGACCAATGAATGGATAGATGGGGTGGTGAATGCACCTGGTCAGCCATCTCGGGGCCCAGGTCCGCCGCCTTGGAGGCGCCCGCAGGGGAGGCCAGGGTGGAGATGACGTCGTTCAGCGCCTGAAACCGTTGGGGACAAGAGGAGAACCGAGGAGGGTAAGGATCCAAAGTGTCAGGAATCCAATATCAAACCATAACCGTCATATGCAAGGTATGATGTGTGGGACAGGGGGCATATCTTCACCCGTGGCTGCCACCCGGCAAAACCCTGCCTTCCCCGGTATTCGTCAACTTCTCAGTGGATCGCTTAGGTTCCGCACCCACCACCAGCATCCAACGGAATCTGCCGGATCGACGGCGCTCCAACCCCAACTCCATTCCTGGTCGGCTCACGAGTAAACTTTATCCCAGGTCACCACCGTCCATCGACTAGGTGCACTTAACCTTCCACCATCGGAAGGATTTCCGACCCTGACAGGTTTCAATCCCGGGATCTTCCGGGGGCAATGGTCCGTGCCTTACCAGTAGTGCCTAAACTGTGTATATAGGTAGGTATGTATATACCCCTTCCCATTCTTCCCTTCCATCTGCGCCACGCAAGCCTGCACGCAAGCGGCTCCACGGTCAGAGCCAAATGCACCCACATCACATCCACGGCCCTGTATTCTACCCGAACCACAAGGGCTGTGTGAGCACACACGCTCGCACGAAACAAGCCTAGCCCGTAGCCAGCCCCGTGCCTTATTAAACTGTCTTCACGGACCTGCAGCAGCAGGTACTGTTGCTTGGGTAGCCCGGCCGCTGCCGCGATTTGGGCCACAAGGTCCGGCATGAAGTGGTGTAGGTTGCCTCGGGTAATGCCTCCCAGGGCGTGTGAGGCGGCGGCGCGGACCTCTTCAGAAGAGCCGGGCGCGGACAGCACCCCCGTGGCAGCGGCTGCCACGGCAGGCAGGCCTGATAGGTCAGCACGGCCGCCGATCTCGCCGAGGCACAGCAGCGCCAAGCGCTGAGATCCTGCGATGCCGATTCGGCACGAGCGGAGATGGAAGATGAGCTGGGCGAATAGGCAGAAGGCGGGCAGTTAATCCGGGCGTCATGAACTGGTTTCCATTACAGCGGTTGTGAGCGCGCATGTGAACGTGCCTGGCCAGTTTGGCCTTACTGCGTTTTGCCGTGCTAGGCTGGGCATAGCGCTGCAGTGGCTCCTTGACAGTATCTGTGCATACGCGATAGGATGTTGGGACTCCAAATCCTGATGTCTACGATGTAAAGCCACATCTTTCCACGCATGACCTTATTAGGCAGCAATGCTTCCCTGCCCGCCCGTATATTCCAATTCCCAGCTGCCATAGCACCAAGTAGAATGGTACGAAGTTGCTGCAACCGTGAACCCCTAGGACTCGAATCTGAAGCCCGGATTAGGATGGGTCCCACCTGGCCCAGGCTTACCAGAATCCTTGGCCCCCACGCTTTTGAGCAACATCTCCACGACAGCGGGAACCTTGGCGGGGCTCGTGGTGGCAAGAGCTGCCACGCATCGCGCCACACTATGCTGGGCCTGCGCATGGGAGTGGGGCAAAGCATGGGGCAACCGCGGCGAAGGCGACAGTGCAACCACGGTGCAAAGAATATGTCCTCTTGCGCCTACATCTTGCACAAGAGGCTGCACGTACTAATCCCATGGCCCCAAACCCCATCCTCGATACGCCTTATACTGCGGCCCTCTCCTCCATATTGACCGTTCTATCACGCATGGCTCGCAAGGGAGGTGTTGGCACTTGTACGTTCCCGTCCTTGTTCCAACCACTCAACTTGGGAGTCAGCGCAGGCGCCCCCACAATAGCCCTACACCTTTATCCTCGCCACGCTTTCCCCCTCCGGCCCGCATGGTTTTTATTGTGCTTTAATCAGGTGCACCTGCTTGGACGACGCCTCCGCGCTGCGTCCCGCGTCGAGCAGCGCCGCCAGCAGCGCATCTGCCCCGCCTTGCGGCCCCGCGGCAGTGGCTAGCGCCGCGAAGAAGCTCTGCAGCACCTCCAGCGCGGCCCCTTGTAGCAGCGGGCTGCGCACCAGTGCCAGTGCCGGACCGCGCACCTTGTCCACCACCACTGCAGCTGCTGCGGCGCCCGCGGGTCCCGGCATGGCCGTCAGCGACACCAGGAAGCGAAGTGCCAGCGACGCTAGCGCCACGTCAGCATCCGACACCAGTGCGGCAGCCTCCTCTACGGCTGCGGTGAGGACAGGACCCTCAAAAGCGGCCGGGTAGCGAGTTGCCAGAGCCTGGGGCCGGGCAGCGGAAGATGGTGGCAGGAAAGTGAGCACTAAACATGTATAAGGGTACACCAAACCTTACCTTCCGCCGTTCAGAGGCTAAGGACCATGCCCCGTGCTCTCCTGGACGGTTCTTGGGGCCGAATGCACTGGCGCTGAAGGTACTGGGTCTGAATACTAGGACCCCAAGGGACTGGGGCAGTGCCCATGTGTACGTGAACGCACCTCCAGCGCCACTAGCGACGCCTGGCGCAGGAGCCGGTTTGCCTTGCGCAGGAAGGACGTCAGCTCGCTCGCCACGCCACTGCCCCCCTCGACCGTGCCTGCCAGCAACTCGCCGCTAACCAGTGGCGACGACGCCAGCGTGGTGAGCGCCTTGACGGCGGTGAGGCGCGTGATCTCGTTGCGCAGACGGTCTAGCAGCACCCGCAAAACCGAAGGTAGCTGCGTTGGAGCGCCGAAACGGGGCCGAAAGTCAATGACAAAAGACTTGGGCACGGGCTCACGCGGCTAAGGAGAAAAGAGACCACACGGTGTGCATCCAGTGTTAATCTTGTGTGCAAACGCGTTGCAGTATAGGCGCCAGAGCGCGAATACCACCTAGATTATTATTGTGGGGTTCTTATGGCCAAGCAGGCAGGGATACCTTGGTTAGGCGAGGGCATCGTGGGCTGAAGGCTTAGCAAGCTGCAAGTGATAGCTTGACACATGGGAAACGATAACCCAGGATACCCAGGAGATGCGCACAACACACGCAGACGCCACATTGCCACGTTCTGAAGGCGCAGCTGAATGAGTAAAGCACTCTGTGCGCCAGACGGCTTTCTGCTCCGCAGACGTGAACCCGCGCATACCGCCCTCGCACCTCCTTTTGAAGGCAGTCGCCCAAGCGTGCCGCGGTAGCAGCCATCGCGCTGATCGCGCACTCTTTTACCTCTTGGTCCTGGTCGGTAGCGCTGCAGAGCAGGGAAGCATACGTGGTCATGCCGATAGTCAGACACAACGGACAGCTACCTTGGTTCTATTGCGTTTTGCAAGTTTTGCATTACAAACAATCCGCGCGCGGCATAGGTGCAGACGGATGGAGGCATAGGGTTCTGCAGGTAAATTACAATTGGGCACGGAAACGTGGACCGCGCCATACTGCGCACCGTACCACGCCATACTTCGCCACATGGACCACAGGCACCAACATGCTGCCGAGCGGCGCGACCGCACTTTTTCGCACGGGGCCCACCTGAGGCGAGTCATGATTGCCGAGTAGAGCGGCGCCACTAGGGATGCCTGCTCTGGTGGCACCGGGCCGGCGGGGTCGGGCCGCAGGACTCCCACCAGCGCCTCACACACTCGGAGCGCCTCCGCAGCCACCTGGAGAGAGCGCCGGAGAGCAAGTTAAGAGTACATGGCTCCTAAGAAAATAAGGCCGCGGAGCATTGATCCAGATTAATCCCGACATGTGAGACCAGGGAACAGCTGGACGCTGATTGGTAATGCTTCCAATGTGAAAGTCTTTATTGGGCTGGCATCTGGAGGACCACTGGACGGTTGCATAGCCACCCCACTTGTTGCCCCGTACCTGCGCATCGCATAAGGGCTGATGACTACTGTGATGCGCGGAGTGTCTGGAAGGCCCGTACCTTGTAGTACCGCTCGTTAACACAGCCAAACACAGCAGGCGCCAGCTGCTTGGTGTGCGGCTGGAACACGGACGGCGGGGTTGCGGCGATGGTCTGACGCAAGAAGCTCAGCGCCTCGATCTTCAAACCCGTGTTGCCGCTCTTGTCCTGTGAGTGCGCAAATGCAAGCATGGGCGCGCGTGTGCAGGTCTCAGCCATGGCATCGAAAACCCCGTGGGCCCCGCAGCTGCACATGGCGAAATCGAAGCTTATCGACGGTGAAAATGCGTCTCGACGGAACAGGACAGTGCGCGGAAAAAACATCGGTACACAAAGAGGTCGCAGACAGCATGACATTCGAAAGGACAAAGCTACAGAAACCCTGTTGCGTTTGCATCCTAGATGCAGAGACATCAGGAGTGCCTCCCCTTGCTCGCCCCCTCGCCTTGGCCTCTTCGATAGACTCACGTTGAGAGCGGCAAGCAGCCCCGGCACCAGCGCGTCCACCTGACCCGACATGGACGACGCCTGCACCGCCACCAGCTGCCTCAACACCCCGAACACGCCCACACGTGTCTTGGGTGACTTATCGCGCAGCTGCTTGGCAGATGCCCGGACGATGGAGGCCACGTCCCCGGTCAGAAGGGCGGTGGGGCTGCAGCGAGGCGGTGAGGCCAGAGTGAGGGCGGAGCGGGGGAGGCTATCAGAGCTTAGAAAACTGGGCCCAGGTCGGGGCCACGGGCATGGGTTTGGGGCAGCTGCGCTAATTCACGTAAAAGAGAGAATACAACGTCAAGGGCTTCCTGATTGTCTCTCACTGGCGAACAGCGCTGGCATGCTACAACATCCACCTCTCAAGACACACAACGCACCAGGCCCACATACCCACAGGACCATTGAAATCAAGGCGCAACAAACCACCAGCATTCCCTGGCTGTGCGGGACTCGCGTCTTCCTCCTCCTCCTCCTCCTCAGCACACACCTGTTGGCGTCTCCCGGCGCGTAGCGATCTGCGGTGGCGCCCACCTGCGCCAGCATCTCGCTAACGGCTGCGAACACGTCCGCCTTGACGCCTTCCTCACGCTCCTTGTCAAACCGGGACACCAGATCCGACATGGACGCGCGGTAAAGCGCCGGCAGCGCGTCGGGGTAGCGGGACACCAGCGCAGACACGATGCGGGTGGCAGCACGGCGGACCTGAGCGTGCACAACACGGCGCGTTGGGGCTTTCAGAATACTCAGCAATCATCTAGTGGGACCACAAAACTTATGTTTGTGCCAACTCTTTTCGAGGATGACGTCGGTCAGCAGCGCTCCTACATTAAGGGATTAGGACGAGAGCCAAGGAGGAAGGTGATGATGCGGCTCCCTGGGAAAACCCTGACGCTAGGTGATCTCAGCCCGCGTGACGCCGCACCTTCCAGCTCATGTCTTCGTCGTCCGAGTATTCGTCAGCATCGTCTCTGTAAGGCCGAAACACGAACCCAGGTTAGGCAAACGCGAGGGTGGAGTGGGGGCAAATGGACAAGCTCAGTGCGTTGCTCACATCCTTGGAACACACATACAACTCATCCCGACAAGCAGTGGCTGCGCTCTGCTCTGCTGCAGACCCGAACACCGCATGGTTGCTGCAGCGGCTCCGATGGCTTTGCAACATGCACGGGACAACCCTCTTTCCCTTATGCTGCCCCTAAACCAACCTCGCACCCTTACAAAGCAACGGAAATGAGCGGTGGAAGGCCAGCTGGGAAAACATGCCGATGTGGATCAGCTTACCACAGCTAGTCTCTACACTGCAGACGCCTCCTTGCCCACTCTAGGTTCCAAAACATTCACAAATGACTAAACCCCCTTCTCGTCCCCGGAAAATGCGTCCCTTTACAATCAACGCTTAGGCCGCCCAGGTTCGGCCCTTGGCCAAGCCGGTGGTTCTTCCTTCCTTAACCCTTTCCAAACAAGGATCAAGCCGGTCTGTTCTGCAACACGTACCCATCCCCGTCGTCATCTGCCTCCTCGTCGTCGTCGCCCATGTCCTCATCACCGCCTTCCTCGTCGTCCGGGGCAAAGTTGGGGTCGTAGCGCAGGTAGCGCAGCGCAGCGGCCTGCACAGCATCCAGCTGCGACCGCGTGTCGTGCGGGCAGCGCAGCACAAAGCCCTCCAGAGCCTGCAGGAAAGGGGTCGAGGCCAAGCACACGTAGAAGGGCCACGAATAACGTTACCGTATTCGTGTCCCAACAGAGGCAGACCGGCTATGCTGCCTACGCACCCTGAATCTATGTGTGTGGGTTAGGGTGCAAGGATCCCGCCTACCCACACAAAACACAGCTACTGGCAGACCACCCGCGCCCACGCGCTTCAGTTGGGGAACACAGCGCTGAGATGCACACAGACATGGACGCTGGAGCAAAGCTTACTATGGCGATTAGAGCCAGACAAGATCGCTGCATGTCTTCATGACATGCAGATTTGCCTTCCGGTATTCATCCCCGAATGCACTCCTCGCTCGTCTTCCGTTGTGGCAATAAGGAGGGCCTCCTTTGCCCTTAGCCCACGTACCTGCAGGCAGTGCTCCCGCAGCTCGTCATCACCCTCTGTCGCCTTGTTGCAGTGGGAAATGGCCAGCGGCACAGCGGTGGCGAGGTAGCGGCCGAAGCGGTAGCCCACGGCACGGCTGCGAGGACAGAGCGCGCACAGGAAGGAAGGCGTGCATTGGTAGTAGCTACCATAAGAGCACAAACACGTCGACAGGCACATGAAGCACGTGTATACCATGCTAGGCACCAACAGCTACAACGGAAATGTGGACGCGGGCTGACCAGGGTTTCTCGTTTGCGGTGGCGAGGCCGAGCTGATCCCTAGCATGGAAACCTCCAGGTCCATTGCCACCGGAATTGTGCAAGGAACAGCATCAGGCCGGATCGGCGCCGCTCCGGACGCCGCCGAGAGGGAACATCACCGACAGGTGAGAGCTGCGTACTTCAATGACAGCACTGGTGGCCTCACACGGCGTGACCTAATCGCCAGCTGGCAGGGATGCACACAACCAAAGGGACAACAAACCGTCAAGCAAGCCCCGCTATTGCACGCAGTCCCGCCATGCAACATGGGTAGCCGTACCTGATCTGCCCCACCGCCTGGATGTACGTGCGCACAAAATCCGCCTTGGCATTGGGCGCCTGAAGCGCAGTCAGTAGGTACGTCACTACGCTCTCCAGCGCGTCATCATTGAGGAACACGGACAGTGCAGCTGTGTGGGCGAGGGGACAAGACAAAAACCGCGAAACGGGGAAACTATGATGAACGCAGGAAAAAGGGCCGGGAAAACCGGGAAAAGAGAAACTGTGGATCCACACATGTCACACGCATGAAGTCCCATGGGTCGTTGGTTCAATCGCTGGCCGGGTATATCAGGTAAGATGGTACTGAGGCGCGAGCTGATAATAATCAGGACGTCAAATACAAACATGTTGGACCAACGAACGAGTTTATATCATTTAAAACAGAGCAATACCATGCGCTTAATCCAACAGTGTAGAGTGACAGCACCGTGCAGCAATACAATAATCCGAACTGGCCATCGTGGGGAAGTAGCAAGGAAAGCGCACTTGCGCGAAACCAAGGAGGATGCGGGTGCCTTCCCCCGCTAGTCCGCATACAGCTGACATAGTGTGGACGGGAAGACCCAATAAAGTAGGAGTGTAACTTGCAATCGGACGTGGGCCTTAAAGTGTGGCAGCAGGCTGTTGACAGCAACCTTCCGAGCAGTTTAATCCGTCCTTGATATTCATCGCTACCGAAAAAGCTGGAACTGAAAAGGGTCTGCCGCATTGCCACGACTGCCCTACCATGCGTTATTTATACGTATTCGCGACTTTTCAGTCAGTTCAACCCTTCAGCTTTTACTCCCTGCAAGGTGACGATTGACCACAGGAAATCAGACCCCTACGATGCTTGATTCGTCTTGCCTCATTGCCGTTCGTCGAACGGCAACCGCGCGGCATGCCCTCCCCACTCCTAGGCCGTTCCCTCACTTGAGAAGGATAATTCCCAGACAACCGCCCACACAACTTTTCCCTTAGCTTGCACGGTCTCCTCAACCCGCAACGGATCCTTGCATGAGGTCCCCGCCCGCATGCCCACCCATCCGTCCAGCACGCACCCAGGCCCTGAAGCGCCTTCTTGCGCATGACCAGTCGCCCCTCGCCCAAAGCGCCCAGCAGTGCGTCCCGGATGCGGCAGTGCTCCGAAACCAGCAGGCCCCCGAAGCGCTGAATGAGCTCTGTGAGGATATCTAGCACGTGACCCACCACCTCGCTGTCGTCCTGCAAATGTGCATACAGCCGTAAATTACGGGACCATTGTTGTGCATCGTACGAGATGTAGACGCGCCGCAGCACCAGTGGGTTACATCGCAACAGAGCCGTGTGAGGTGGCTGGTTGACAGCAGGCGAAAGTGGTCTGCTGGTGTTTTGGTGGATAGGGTGCTGTGCATAGAATTATCAAAGGCAGAGATAGCGTCATGACAAGCCAAAGCGCATGCCGGGCATCGGCGCTCCGGAACATTAAGCTCGAGGAGTTGGGGGCGTGCCACACCTTATGGATGTTCAGGCCCTCAAGCATGCGACCCGCAATGATGGTGGACGCGCTGCTGACGAGCTGGCTGTTTGCGCCCACACCAGCAGCCGCTCCCCCCGCCAGCTCCTTTATGAGAGCCTTGAGGCCGATAGAAGCAATTTCGCGCTGAGCGTCCCGCGCCTTGCTGGCGGCGCTGCTGCCTCCTGAAGCCGGCCCGGCGCCCGCAACCTTATCGCACAGCTGCCGCACCATGTCTTCAGCACGGACCTCAGCTACTTTTCGAGCAAGGTAGCCGAGACTGCAACGTGCATGAGGATGGGGGAAGGGTTATGCCGTCGCCGAAGGTGTTGGTTTGGCGATAGGGACGTACACAAACGGGCGTTGCGGCTTTGCCGGCATTCCACATACAGCCATCAGGACGCTGCGTTCATCCACTAGAGGACAAAGTAGGATTCACAATACTCCGGGACAGGCCGCCAAAAACGAGAGACACAGTGATCTCGAGAGCGGGACCTCACCAGCTGACCGCTAGGTTTGAGATGTCGCCCGATGGATCCTCTAACTGGTTGAGAACGACGGCGCAGAGCTTCTTTTCCAGCTCCGCGTCTGCCTTAAACGTGTCCTTTTGGAGTTCATGCAGAAGGTCCGACGTCGCCATGTACCGAAAATCTTTATCCTTGCTAGCAATCTTTTCCAGAATGATAACCAGAGTTGTGTTCGCCATCTTTCCTGCCCTCTCCGCTCCCGAGACAAAAAGAGGAAGTTAAGGCGTCTGTCAGCACACAGTGCCTTGTGTGGAATCCAAAATACTAAAGAACGCCGTGACTGGACAGACCAGAAGTCTTTTGCAACAGCGAAACCGTACACGATAGCTTTGCCCAAAGCGAAGGTCTGTGTCGCGAACTATACGGTATGGTTTCAATTTGTCGGGACCCCCAAGGAGTTTGCTGAAGGACAGACACGTCTTGCCTAGGTAGCATATAGGCCACCAATCATAAAAGGCGAAACCATGAATAACGGAAAATGAGGCTGTCGTACAAGCTGTTTCGTCGGTTTGCCTGTATGTTTAACCCTGTGTAGTCCTGAATTCTAAATTTCGTCAGTTAAAATGCTATGAAAGAGATCACACATAATGGAGCCCCGAGAATGCCCGCCGCTTATGAGGTCCGTCTGTCATCTCTTTACGTGGCAAAAGCCGCAGCACGCAGGAGAATTGCGAAAACGTCACTAGACCTTTGCGTAAATCGTATTTGCACAACTTATGCCGCCATGAGTAGAAGCAATCCTTTATCACAATATCCGCTATTCTCCACCCTACCCCGCAGCACGAGCCTGGCACTTGAGCTACTTCAGACACCACCTGGCCCCATTCCCAAGGTCAGTAAGCTCACCAAACAATATGACATAGACATTCCAAAAATTGCAAGCCCTGCGACAGTTAGGCGCGCCCTCCTGCTCACATCACCAAAATTTGATCTCCGCCCCGCGTCTGCTCCACACAACCACCGCCTCCAGAGCGATCCGCTACTATGTGGTCGAAATTGGCTGCTCAAACACAAACCCCTTGGAGGCCCTCCTGATGTTGGCGGCGTAGAAGGTCCATCGCCTCCTCCTTCCCCAGGCCCCAGGGAGGCCGCCATCGGGGGCCACCAAACCTGCAGCTCACCAGATTCCACAGCATTGCAAGCCCGTGCACCTCCGAACCAACCCCGGCCAACGCATAACAGCCTGCCCAATAGCTATAGGCAGCTGCCTAGCCATTCAGCCACGGATTTGTCGTACGATGATTTCGTACGGCAGTACATGGAGCCCAATCGGCCGGTGGTGATACGGGTACGATATCTTACGGGTGGGACGAGCGGAAGAGTTAGTTTCCACCCGTGCATGCTTTTCAGACACCCCTGCTCTCTTAACAAACACAGATAAGAAGAATAATTATAATGGTGATGAAGGCCTAGGCGTGCAATGACGCATGTGCTAATCTGCCCGTGTGCCGTACTGATGACGTACTGAGCTGCCGGCCCCCGGGGGCCCCCAGGCCCAGTCTTAAGGGGATCCCTCAATATCCGCAAACGGTGTTTTTTCCATGTCGCGACCTGCTGAATGGTGCGCTGTTGGCTTGTTGGGGCTGTAGGGCGTCAGCTCGGGATGGCGTGCTGCTGCGGAGTGGCGGACGCCCGACGGCCGCCTCAGACTTGAGGGGCTGCGGCAGCTGGCGGGCCACTGCTGCGTATGTGTCACCGACACCAGCGAGTGGGTGTGGATTGGGGACGGAGGGCTGTAACGGCTGCGGCCTCCCGGGGGATAGTGCTGGGGGGGATACCGGCGGCAGTGATGATGCCAAACATGGACATGAGTTCGAGGGGAACTTGGTTGGAGACTGGGTTTGGGGCGGGACTGGACTTTGGATTTTATAGTACGTAAAGTGCAAATTCCAAAAGAGAGGCTACTGACGATGTCCTTCGTCAAGGAAGGAAGGGGGTTGGCTTAGTGGGCGGGCGCTTACGGCCAGTCACATGGTTGCATTGTTGGCGGGATTGGGTCCCGTGGCTTTCTGTTGTTGATGTGTGCCTCGTTCGCCTCGTCCTTTCGGCTGTTTCTTTGCTCTTTCCACCTCCATTCCTTTCGTCCTACTTACTTTGTTCGTCCTTTCCTCTTCCTTCTTTCTCTCTCTTTACTCTCCTGTTGCCCTGCCGTGTTTTCACCGTACTTTGTACTGGTAACAGAGGTCATTCGTTGTTGACCGCACAAAAAGGTCGTTATAGAGAAACGAAAAACCAACGGCCAGCACGGCGCCTGAGGCACTGTACACCCCCCCCTTGCATCTCACGTCCCCCCCCCCCAATAACCGTCCGCGTTCTTCTGCTCTTCCCTGCCTGAACCAACACCCTGACACCGCCATGATGGTGGCCACCTCGACAGCCAGGACGACGGGTGCGGTGTGGTGCGTACGATGCAGCTTTCAGAGTACCTGGATTGGTGGAGTGACCGTGCCGCGTCAACACAAGGAGGTCGTCATAGCCACCATAATCATCGATATCCTTCTCCTCCATCTCCCCGTCATCATCATTTTGATAATAACGGTGATAATCATCATCGACATCAACACCCTCAACAGCAGCCGCAGCAGCAGTCTGCTGGACTCGCGTTGGAGAGGGCACTGCATTCGCCGGAACCACACCCGACGCCGCCTGATGCTTCCGCTTCCGTGTCCGCTTTCGCTTCCACTTCTGATCCTCCTCCTCCTCCTCCTCCTCGTCAGTCGACGGCCGCTGAAGCAGAAGCTCCTGCATTCCCGGCGTGTGGTAAGGAAAACGACTTGGCACCGGAGGAGATTCAGGGGGAGGAGGGCGGCGCCTTAGGAGGTGCCAAGAGATTGGGCGGAGGGTGTGGAGGGAAGTTGGATGCAGCGGCGGAGAGAGCGCTGGCGGGACCTGGCACCTCGCCGCAGGGCCGCGAAGCAGCGGCGGCGTCAGCCACTGCCGCGGCACAGCCACTACCGCGGAGCAGCTCGGCTGCTGCGGCGGGAGCCGCCTCCTGCGATGTGGCCGGTCCTCGCACGGCGGCTGGCGGCGAGGGCCTTATGTACTTGAAGGACTGGCACTTTGTGGCAGAATTTCCGGATTACGGAGTAAGCGGCGGAGCGAAGGAGGGTGGGTTTTGTTGATGCTCTGGGGCAGTGATATCTTGTGTGATGGCCGCTACGCAACGCGGATTTACGGGGCGTGAGCGGCCGGCGCTGAGCACTGGACAGCTGGGATAGGTCCCTCGAGGGTCCCCTGGGGTTGGAGTGGGTGGCGAATGAGTGTTGTGGTTCTGTCAGGGTGGGCGCGTGCCTGCGTCTCTTCCGGGGGTCCGCATCGTATACAGTCGAGAGCACCCTGCAGCCAGTTACTCCCAAGCATCTCACGCCGCCTCTGGGCCTTAAAAGAGCCGGTAAACCGCCTTTGCTCGAACCCCTAAAATAACGCGGCACTATCATCTCCTTGGCCAGTTAGTATGCATGGATTTATTGTCATCTGGTTTCAGTTGGTTGGTTTCTAACGACAGCTGCCGTCGCGTCCTAAACTTCTCTTCGTCCCGGCACCTCTGGAGCAGGCGTATCGCCTGCCCTTCTTCTTCGCGGACGACTGGCTCAACGCCTACTACGACCAACAGAGGCACAGACGCGAACAACAACACGGCTGTGAAAGCGTTCTTCGTAGTGCTCCAACAGGCAATGGCCACGCCGCCGCCGCCATCGCCGCCGCCGGCGCTGTGAGCGCTGCTGGTGGACCGGGAGATGCTGGCCCGGCGCCCCCGGTGGGGGCTCCTGTCAACGACGCCTGTTTGACGCGGACGTCAGTTCGCCCCCACGCCGCCTTCACCTCCGACTACCGCTTCCTCTACTTGGGGCCTGCGGGTACCTGGACACCTCTGCACTCGGACGTGCTTCGTTCCTACAGCTGGTCGGCCAATGTGTGTGGCCGCAAGCGCTGGCTGATACTGCACCCGCGGTATACACACCTGCTGTACGACAGGCAGATGCTGCGCATGGCTCCCCACCTGGAGCCGGGCCGGGTGCGCAGCGGCTGCGACCCACGGGACTTTCCTGGACTGGAAGAAGCGCGACGGCATGCGTTTGAGTTTATCCAGGCAAGGGTGGATGGATGTTGGTTTGCGCGTTTTGGGAAGGGTGTCGCGTTGTGCGTTTTTGGGTTGGTTGTTGGATGGACAGCTAAGGCATTGGGGACTCGGGGGCGGGGGTATAGCAGGCGGAGGCGTGCATATGCAACTGGCCTTTTTAACTGCATCTTAGCGCTTAAAAAGGGTATGATATTTCTTAGATTACTTTCGAGACGGCATGGGAGACGTTCCGGGTTCGATTCCTTCTTCGGGCGCAGGAGGAAGGTGACGCTGTGTTCGTGCCCAGCGGTTGGCACCATTGCGTGGAGAACCTGCACGATACGCTGTCGCTCAACCATAACTGGCTCAACGGTCACAACTGCCATTGGACATGGGCGTTACTGCGTCAGCAGTACGTGGATGCGGCGGAGGCGATTGAGGACTGCAGGTGTGAGTGTTCATTGGTATGTTTCTTGGCCGTTTGGAGGATTTTAGGAAATAGGATTGTTGGTGCCGCACACCTGTCCCGTGCAGTCACGAGTAACTTCGCTCAGGCGCGAGTAACGGTAACTAGCAACGAACAACGGTTTGCACTCCCGCGGGAGGCCGTGTAGTTAAATATAGGCCTGGTTCTTGCATTTTCCTGCCGCCCTTGGATGTCAAGTAGTGTTGAAATAGTTTATGCGTTACGGGGTGGATGACCTGACGGTGTACGGCGAAGGGTTGGTTTGTCCGTTGAGTTGTCCGTTAACTGCAAACCTTCGCACTCAATGCACGCTAACCGCTGCTATATTTGTAGTAGCTTATGACATGACGGCGATTCCTCGCATGTCGCTTCCAGGCAGCTCTGTTCGCCGGATGAATTTGAGGGCCTGGTGCAAAGCAACTTGGCGGCTAACATGGGACTCAATTGGCACGGCTTCGTCGACTTGTTGGGGTGCACCGTGCGGAGCGCGCTGGCGTCTTTGTGCGCAGCGCGCGGCGGTCTCAGTGATGCACGTGGAGATCCGTTGAGCGGGGTTGGCTCTTTTTCGCAAGAGGTTGCGACGGAAGGTGGAGACCACTGCGCAGCAGTCATGAATCAGCTCCTCGCGCTTCAAAGGGCAGGTAGGAAGGAATCTCCCAGCTGGGCCTGTGCATCGTGGCTATGCTAAGGATTGATGCTTTGTGCTTCGCATTTTGTGGCACTGCTTTCCATGGCACCGTAGGATGCTTTCCGTGCCGCAACGGATGTGCCACTGCATATGTTTCGCTGTACTGTGCCTCGCTTACTCCATCGTCACACTTTCCAGGTTAATTACTCAAGCACAAGCTGCACTGATGAAGTACTCGCATCGCAGGTTGTTTGCTTGTCTAGTCGAGTTGGTTGCATCACAGGGAATTTACCTGAATTCGGGTTGGTTGTAATGCAGGCCGTTTGCTGAAAGATTACATGGCGGCATTTGAGGAGCTTGTCCTGTCTCCAGCGGAGAGGCTAGAACGGCAGGTTCAGCGTTGCGGTCCCGGTAGCATGCCCAATGACATTCAGGCATGTGACCGCCTGCGGCAGACGCCAGCGGTCATGAACGCGAGGAGCCTGTTGATTAGCATAGAAGACGAATTACGTCGTGAGGGGTTTTCGTATGGACTCGGCGACTATTAATGGAAAAGCTCTGGGAGGTTGTCGGTTTGTTGGCCGTTGCCAGCGAAACGACACAGAAGCATTATGAGCCATGAGCAGGAGTGTACCCGTTTTCAAACGTTCCAAATGAACATGAGAACGTTTCATTTGGAAAATGCAGATGACATTTACCAAGATGTGATTAAGAAATGACAGGTCCCGACAGGTCTATGTCAGGTCCATCGGCGGTGCGGTTATACGCGCTCTTAAGTATAATTAATCCTGGTAGCGAAATGAATTTTTAGTTTCCTCACACTAATTTTAGTTCTTCGAAAGGCTTGCTTCTCAGCTCATGGAAGCCTTGGGATTCGCGTTCTTGTTCGCTCTGCTGGCCACAGCTGCGGTACAGGTATGACATATCTGTGGTATTCATGGGGCACCGGACGGGTTTGGATGTTTGGTCAGGTTTCGATGCCCTCCATCAGTCTGCGGGAGCAGCTGCGATATAACCCATAGAGTTCTGCTGCTTGTATGAAAAGCGGATGCCCCTCGAATATAATCATCCCATGATTGTTTACTTTATGTGCTTCAAGGGATACGCTTGCGTGCCTATCACGACCGTTGCCAGGTGGCCAGGGGCCAAGGGTGGAACGGCGTGTCCTGCGTGAAGCATTCAGCGTTTGCCAACCAAACAGACATTGATAGGCTGTGTTGGGAAAAAGGTGAGGGTTTTTTCCTGAGACACAGCGGGAAAGGGTTGGCACGGGCGTGTATGTTAACGCGCGAGCCAGACTTAAGCACAGCTTCGGAGCCTGTTGATTTTCGAATTTCGCAACGTTTTATCGTCTTTGTTATCTCAATTCTGTCCAGCAAGTGCGTGTACGTGCATACACTACCATCATCTGCACCAGTTGTGCTGACTCGTCATGGCCTCACCTTCACCTTCACTCGCATGCTCTGCCGCTGGTCGCCATCGTAAAGCGATGTTCCGACGGGTTTCGACCCGACCCAGGCCCGATTCATGTCCTCTTCGAACCGCCCACTTGTTCACTCGTACGTTCGCTCATCCGATCGCTTTTGCTAGATCCATGCGGCGGCATGGGCGTCACCATGCCGGCAGTCTTCAAGGTCTCCAAGCCCTGTCCATCGCCTCGAGGCTCTGCCGTCTGTGAGCCCCTACCATCTGGGCTAACCCAGTGCAACCAGTGGATTGACGTCATCGACGACACCCCCGTCCCCTGTAGGAGCTTCTGGTGCTGCAGCAGCTATAACGGACGGATATACGACGAATTGTACTGCGCGCCAAAAAATGCGTCTTGCGTAGATAAGCTTCCTGACGTCTATTTCTGCACAGGGACTCAAAATGACGATTGTCCCGATGGTGAGCGCGGCTCGGTGAGCTCCGTAGATAGCGCGTCCTACTAACCTGCAAGATATCTTAGTGTTGGGGTTCGGGCGTGACTTGAGGGATTTCTTGGGCCTGACAACCTTGGAGCCAACAAGAAGTGACGAACACCTTATTGCGGCTAACGATCCTCAATACTCTGACTAGGGCCAGCTCGATAACCAAGCTTAGCCACCTGTCGATCGGCGAGCACCAGAGCCGTGATCCGCCTTCCTGTCCCGGCACAGCAGCTCGGGCTGCACCACCGCACGTCAGCGCGACTGTGCACATGCAGCACACCGAAGCAGACCAACATGATGCTGGTAGACTCGCGACCGGTGTCCTTACTCGCCGTTGGCAAAAGGCGCTGGAATGGGTGAGGGCGACTGTTCTTGGCTGTTCTGCTACATGCATGCATCGCAGTTCCGGCGATGGCCTGCTGCGTAGTGGCGGTTCTGTGGTAAAGCTTCTTGGCCTCCTTTCCTCTGCTGTCAGGTTGACCGTTGCCACGTCTTTCTTACTCTCCTCGCGAACCCTGTGTTGCCGTATTCCGGATCTCCTCACTCCGATCTCACCCAACCACATACACCCATGCGATCTCGCTGTACAGGAATGATGATGAACGAAAACGGACAGTGCGTCATCACTCCACCTAACGCATTTCTACGACCTCCCGTGCCTCCTGGGCCCCCACCCAGGCCGCCGCCGCAACCCAGCCCACCCAGCCCAGCGCCTTACAGTCCCTCGCCTCCCCCATCTCCGCCGCCATCACCATCGCCACCACCCCGGCCGCCCACTCCGTCCCCTCCACCTGCACCCCCACCCAGGCCAAGCCCCTCACCACTCCCTCCTCGTCCACCGCGACCTCGGCCCCCGCCGCGGCCGCCCTCTCCACCGCCGCCGCCATTACCGCCTTCCCCGCCGCCCGTCCCATCGCCGCCGCCGTCGCCGCCGGCCCCGCCACCGAAACCGCCGCGTCCGCCAGCACCGCCACCATCGCCGCCGTCTCCGCCATCTCCGCCGACTCCTCCACCCTTAATGCCGCCAGGTTTACCAAGTTTTCCACTCGCTCCTGGCAATCCATCTCCACCCAAACCGCCCTGGCCGCCGGCACCCCCAGCACCGGAGGAAGGCAATGCTCATAGGAAGTCCTACAGGGCTGCTGCTATTGGTGCCACCGTTGCGATTTCCGTGGGGGTTGCTGCAGGTGCGTGCGACTTCTCCCAGAGCAAGACCTAGCTTTACGGAGAAATAGGGCAACGCCTACGACCTGGAGTACGGCAGGAAAGCGCTATACTCTGCACGCAGCACGTCCGTTCAGTACAGCAGGTCGCAATTTTGCCCTTGCGCTCAAACTTGCTCCATGCAGCGTTTGGTTGATGAACCCACTTGTTTATGGAATGCCCATATCTAGGGGCTTAATCAGGAAAGCTGCAGGTCTTTAGACAGGCAGACCGGCGGGTTGCAGACCTGTACCATGTTCGGTACAACTTGCCAAGTTTGTCTTAACCCCCCCCCAAGATATGAGGTCTAGAAGCCCTAGCACATTCGTGACGTGTGAAAACTTTTCCTGCATTCGCGTTAATCATCTTATCCTGGTGGGCTCAGATATGTTCTCCTTTGCAGAATACCGAACCCTAGCAAATTCTTCAACGTTGGGAGAAGAGTTCCTCCCTTGCTCTTCAACCTGGCACACGCACCCACATAAGGCAGCACGCCGTTGCGCCTCATGCAGTTGAACCGCAGCAAACCGCAATATTGGTATGGGGGTCAACAGCGTCAAGATCTTCGGACCCATAGAGGCTTGAACAGCTAAGCTCGTACGAAACCCAGCATCAAGCTTTCCGCGTATCGTAAAACACAGACTGTCATAAACCAGGTCAGCACAGTTCTGATGGAGCTTCCCCGGCATGCGAGAGCATCCCACGCCGCAGGCCGAGGAATTAGGGGCAGCTGCTGCCCGTGCGGGGCCCTATCCTCTTCCTCCGCCTCGTCCTCCCTTTGAAAGTACCACATAAAGCTGGAGGAAACCCGGATTGGTTGCGTCCTGCAAATGCTGACCTGATAGATGATCCAACAAGCTGTCTAAAAGTAACTGCGACTTGTCCGTTTTCAACAGCGAAAACCCGACCGCTGTACTCCACCTGCCTGATCTTTGTCCCGCTCGCTTTTGGACCTGCCCTTTCGACAGTGATCATTGGGCTGGTGGTGTGGGCGTGCAGAAGACAGAGTTATGACGGTGATGGTGGGGGCGTCCTGCAGCGGCAGGCAACTATTGGAGATGCCCCCGACGTGGTGTATGAGAACCCCACTGCACTACATCAGCCGTTGCCGCCCACACCTGAAGTGGGAGAGGATGGCGAGGATGTCGAGAACATTGCGGAGGATAACGCTGAGGATAGCGTTGAGAAATCCAGCACTGCAAACACTGCTAAAAACGCTGAGGAGGCTGAGAAGGCCGAGACGGCTGGGGCAGCTGACAACGCTGAAAAGGCCGACAAGGCGGAAAAGGCTAGCAAGGCTGGCGGGAGTGTTGAGAGTCATACTGCGGTTGGTAAAGATGCTAAGAACGCTGAGATTTCTGAGGATACCGGGAGGGCGGACCCTCCAAAACGTGCTGATAGCAGAGAGTTCATCAACGTAGCCCTGGTACCGCCTGAGCAGTTCAAGCCCGGTCCGCAACGGGGCCGTCAACAATGACACGCACGCACGCGGTCTATGCAGACGTCATGGCTCCGCTGGCCATTTATCGCTGATGAGGCTCTACATGCGCAGTTGACCGGCGCAATACCTTAATGCCGCCAGCATGGTCATGTTTTGGACTGAACTGAACGGAGTGACAACCCCTTCCCGGCCTCTTACCGCAGAGGTGATGGCTGGCTCTCACACACACACACACACACACACATATATAGAGAGAGACACTCCCGTACACTATATATATGCCGTTTCGCCAACTAGATTTGCTCACGAAAAGCAGTCCAGTGGCAGCAAGCTCTTGCTTCGAGTTTCCGTTGCGATAGTGGCGATTGCTGGTAGGTTTAACCGGACGCGTTTATTTAGGCAGTAGTCTTGGTCATATGGGCCGGCTGGCGAGCGAATAGGTGTTGTACGTGACGCGAGTACCGTATCTGCGAGCTTGGACCGACAGCCTAGTACTACCGGAAGGA